CCCTTTTTTTTTTTTTTTTCTTGTTGTTTTGTTTGTTTGTTTTTAACTGAAGGTAAAATAAAGGACAAAGGTTGCTGGCAGTTCAAGGCAACAAAGACTGATGTTCCCATACCAAACCTAATAATAGCTTGCAAAGCCTATCACTTAATACATAAGTTTTCAAGAAACTTACAGGTTCCAATACATATATTTTGAAGCCATTTACATTAGTAACTGTATTACTAGGTCTGATCTCTGAGCTACTGAAAATTAAGAATGCACACATTCTTGTCAGCACAGTACACAAACACAGTTTCATATTGCTTTAGCTTGCACACAGTCAAAGCAAAATTATATTCATACTTATAGCATTCTTTCTGGCTCATAACTACCTCAATTAGGATAAACTGATTTTTATCCTGAAATTTGGGGTTGGGTTTTTTGGGTTTTTTTGACTAGGTCAGAATATAATCCAAACAGAAATCTATCTCCTATCTGTATCTCTTTTTTTTTTAATCACTAGTTTATCTTTTAAAATATATTAATTGTGTATCATCATCTTCTGAAAAACAATGATTAGTCACCAGGAAGGTTGATTCCATTTAATCTCTTACAGAAACTAGTATGGCCAGTTATTCAACACCACAATATTTTATACCAGATGAACCTGTAATATTTTTCATGTTACTCAACTTCAAAAGGAAAATAACATTTTCACCCAATACTTAAGAACCACATTAACAGTTTTCTGCTCTGTCACTGAAGATAGGTCTGAGTAACACTAATACAGTAATACACTTCTATTTCGTCAACAGAGCTCAGAAAAGCTAAGAATAATTTTTCATTCCTTTAATTTTAGAAACAAGGTAAATTTACAACTTTCAAGAGGGCTTAGTTTTCTAGGTAACTAGAAATTGTATATCCAAATTTAAAAGGCTGCCCTGTTCAAATAACTATTTCCAACTGCAGTAGGGGCAAATTTGCAGAAAATGCATACCATATGCCAATATGAAATTGCATTCAGAAAATGAAACTTCACAAAATGCAGTCAGGCAATAGGAATGTTTTCCTTTTAAAAAAGGATATATTATATACCATGGAGCAATAATAGACCATCAACTCAACACCTGTAAACAGGTTGGGTTTATTATTTTACTTTCCAATTAGAAATTGAACAATACTTATTTAAGCATCATACATGCAGATGTCATAGTCAATCAGTCCTTTAAAACACCATACATCCAATCGCTGCAGTCCATCAATCCTCTAAATAGCATTAGAAGTACCATATTTTTACATCAGTAATTCTGGCTCAGAAATCCTCATGATGCATACATGGTGATCATCTGCCCAAGTTTACATTTTAGTTTCTTACCAGTCAGTAGGAAAGAAAGGACTACATTGTAATAAAAACTACATTGTAAAATAGTGTTGTATGTATGTATCTCAAATATGTAAGTTTTAAATAGATTGTATTACTTTACACTGACGAGTTACCAGAGTTTGGTAGGAGATACCTATTTAATCCTGTTACCATACAGTAAAAATTTTAAACCAGGTATTGTTTTTAACATTCACAACAGGAAGTTTCAGATGTATCTCACCTTCCCTTCAGGCAAAAAATGCAGATGCAAAATTGTTCCTATAAACAACCATTGACTGTAGCTGGACAGACACTGTTGTAGAAGTTGTGTGAACCAAGAAACCTATGCAGATATGTTTTCAGAGACGGGCTACTAAAAAGAACATCAGAAACTATTTAGCAAGCCCCAGCCAGTATCTCTGCTTTCGGCATTATATAAACCCTCGCTCTGATCGCATAACTGCACCACCTTCCTAAAAAGAAGTAGTAAGGTCTGCAGCTCAGTTACTTCCAACAAAAATTTGGTATACCATACACGCTATTTTTTTTTTTTTTTTTTTTTTTTTTTTTTTTTTGTGCTGCACAAACCAAACAAATCAAAGCTATCAGAACAAGTATCATAGTCAAGTGCTTGACCTTCAGTATCCAGACTGAAGACCATCAGATGGTCATGTTTGAAAGCAACTGCCTTTCATCAGAAGGTAATGCAAACCCATTAATGATTTCAACCCCAGTGTGCCTACATATCCTCAACCTGAGTGATGGGAGAAGGAAGGTTTCTGAGCTGTTAACCCACCATGCAAAGCAAGAATGCATATCTGCAGAACAAATCATGGGGACTGGGGCACCGGTGGAGAAGAATAGGATCACAGCCCATCCTCTTTTGCATGCATTTGATACAGGGTAGAAAAAGGAAGGAAGAACAAACCACCCAGATAACAAAGGATAAAAGAAAATGGATGAGTGACATCATTCACCATAAAGAATCTAAAATATCATCCAATTTGAACATCTAGCACAGCAAAAAGAACAGGGAATTAAAGAGCAGAGATTAGTGTTTCCAGATTTAGGTTACTGCAGTAATTAGAAAAAAACATGGGCTACCCAAGGCATATACTGTGAAGTTTTCAAGGCCTAAGAAGGATGCTAGCTCCATGTCCACAGACTGGCAAGGACTCAATTATAGTGTCAAAAATGTCAGTTGAGCACTGGGTGCTA